GCTGGGGTTATCATCTGACGAAACTCAAGCACTGCACAGTAACAAGAACGTTGGAGACACTGTCTTATACGTATGCCGTCGCGACTTGAACGTGCGATCATCGAAAATGACTGACTGAATGTTGATTTCTTTGAGCTAAAAATGCAACTCACTGTGCCTCGCTTCATCCAGTCAAAAAACTGGTTGCGGTCGGTTGCTGACCTGTGAAAAAGGACAGCATTGTGTTAGGGTGGTTAGGGCAGCGTGGTCATGTCAAAGCGTACGAGATTTACGATCATATTGTCAGACACGAGTAACACTTTACCGCTACAGGTTATCCTGACCCATCCTACAGCCGATGGAATCAGCACAAAGTGTAACGCGTACAGGTCTATGAATAGTCATATTATCATAACGGCATTGGAAACGTGTGAAGAACGGAAATCGAAAGGCGCTGCGGGTGATGATGGTAGAACCAACTAGACTGATGATCATGTGCAGCCTGATACGATGCTTTAACGCTGGAACGCACTGAAAACAACAGGATATTTGACTTAATCAATACAAAATATGACGTAAAATACGTACAGCGATGGTTCTACTGATAAAGAGCACAAAACGGCTCACTTACACACAAGACATCACATGTGATCTATCGAATAATAGACAGATGCATATACGGGTATTGATGTATCGATCCACCGCCCAGCAGATCAAATGCATTGCGATGCGCTTATTGTGTAAGAAAAATATTTCTGAGACGTTTTTCAATGTATGACCTGTAAATAATCTAAGTGAACAAAGCACATTACCTTTCCAACGCCGCATGCCATCTTGGGAGCAAAACGTTGACAGGAAGACGTTCAAGAACGTGAGCCTATGAAAGAAGAACGGTCGCAAATGAAACAGCTCTTGGAAAAGACGGCGTACATGTTAACCAACAGCAGTCGTCGAAGTTTTGTCACGATCAGTCGCTGCCAGGTGTGTAACGAGCGAAGTTTAAGCTTTCGACGCGACGTCGTAGACCCGGATATCTGTACAGGTTTAGCATGTAGAGTGAAAACAAACATGAAGTACGCAGAAAAACGATGCCCAGCATTACCAGAGTATCTACCTTCTCCAACAGCAGCATGTACTTCTGGTCCTTTTGCGCTAGATCGCTGTAGTCGTTTAAATGAATGTTTGCAGACGAGTACAGAAACCGATTACGATTAGACTCGTCACTCCAGTAGTTGGTCCGAA